TTACTTTAAACTTTGAGCTACTGCTGAGGTAGCAAATGGCTTTAAATCATCTGCATCTTGCTGGAAGGTTATGACCTTGCCTTTCATGAGTGGGTCTTCCCACAGTTCTTTGTGCTTTGTTTAGTTTTTCTGGTTGCATTATGGTTGATATAGTGGCAATATATTGAAAAAAATAAAAGGTTGTCATCCAGGCTTTTTCTGTCCCTTTCTTGCCTCCCTATAACCTTTCGGGGCCTGAGCCCTGTTTGTCATGATTTCACTGACTTGACGTTCATGCTAGTGTCACTATTTGATATACTTACTCAAACTATCAACACGCTTTCCTACAAAATCTCCTCTCGGGACTTGTATTTTAATATGTTCTCACCTCCAAGTGTTGTGTTAGTGATAGAAAAGACTGCATGGAAAAGCGGGGGGTGAGGGGCAGAGAAGGGATTGCTGCAAATTAGTATGTATGAGTTATTGTTTTTCCCCACCTTTTTCCTCTTCTGGTCTGTAGAGACCTTTCCAAATCAGAACCATCTTTTTATCCCACCCAGGATGTGTACCATGATGTTGACTTTTATTGTTTATTGTGTGCCCTCAGGGGGTTTGACTGGCTTGGGATCACTCATGATCCTATAAGATCCTTGCCCTGAAGAGATTTTAGTTCTTATACTTCCCAAATCTTTGGCATATATTTTTGACAATCAATACATTTGTTTTGAGTTTCTGAATACATGAAAGGGGATGGAGTTCAGGATGTGGGTTGTCAGTTTGGTGGAAGATAAGAGTAAATGTAGGCAAAGAATATTATATTTATTGTTACTCATAAACATAATGGCTAAAATGAATCCATCTTTTTTGTGTTTGTGTTCTCCAGAAGCTGCATTCAGATTTCATCATGAGGGATGAAAAACATGGGGCCTTGTTTGTTTGTTTTTAACCTTGGGTTGACTGCCATGATGTGACTCTCCAGTAAGAACAGGACCATTTTGGATAACATAGCTATTTTGTGAACAGAAGTAAAATGTAGGGTGTATATCAAACCTTTAATTGTTGAAATGGCAACTGGTTTAGCTTCAGCACATTTTTTTTTTATGTTTGTCTTGTATAAGTACATTATTCTTACGAATAGAAGATTTTGGGCAGTTACCAGCTTTGTACTCACAGCTTTGTGGGTTCTTATTAAGCATAAACTTTTAAAATTTCCACTAAGATAGAACTGGCCTATTTGACTGCATTTTTTTTCTTCATGGGATAGACATTTTCCATTGGCTAGGCGTTGTCCATACTTGTTGTTTTGGACATACTAAAGAAACAATTCTGAGATTACAAAATTAACATCTTGAGGAAAAGGGAGGTCACAGTTTGCTTTGTTAATAGTTCTTTCATTCTGGCTTTAGGGAACAAAACAAGTACGTTTGTCTTGATGTGTAGGTTATCTAGTAACCAGAAGGATGAGGAAGCTCTGTAGATGTGAAGTCTTTTTTGGAAATTTGAGGTAAAACTGTGAGATCCAGCCCTATAGTTCTCCCAGGTATAGCCAATTTGGCTTTTCCAGGAGAAATGCTGATTGTGGTCTTGGACTTGATTTCTTTTTTTCTGTTACAGTTCATTGAAATACTTTTCTTCACGTTTTCTTACAAGCTTTTGAAATATTTTATGTCTGCCACGGGGAGAAATGACTTTAAATTAGATTCATAATCTAGATAATGATCTTTCAGGAAAGCAGAGCTTGACTGTGTTTGTTCTGAGCTATTTTCTGCATACTGTAGTTTGGTAGACGCTCACCCAAAGAGTGCACCATCTCTTTTATATCTTGGATCACTTCTCCCCTTTTATGTTAGATGAAAGGTTCATTGCAAAGAGAGGTTTCGTGTGTTTAAATTGGCTTTTTCTTTCTATTTAGAAGTGATGTAATGCTATTTTATACTTAAAATTAGTGCTGTTATGTTGACTCCTCATTAGTTTGGTTCTCTAAGGGAAAAAAAAAAATCACACTCTCTGAGCGTGTAGTTAAAAATTGCTGTAAAGTATTCTCCCTGTCCTCAATCAGCTAAATGTAGAAACATTTTACCAAAAAGCTTGGGCTATTGGTTTAGTTTATATATTTTTGGAAGGTAAATATAACTGGCAAAATGTAAAATTTGTGAGGATGTATTTGAATACTTTAAAACCATTCCTGTAAGCTTATACTTACATGCCAAAGAAAGAAAATGTTATGCCACCCTGTGGGTTGCTATAACGATTGTTTATGCAGCTCAGCATAGGACTTAAAATACGTTGAATTGGAGAATTTTGAAAAATGTACTGTGCGACATAGGAGACCAAATCATGCTAAAGTGCAAGGAAAGACTATACATCAGTTCAAAGGCTACATTATTCAAAAAAATACAACCATAAAAAAGGTAATAAGATTACATTCTCACACTTCATGGCTAGTAAGGTGCATTAAGCTGCTCAGATATTCATAACTTACTGTGACATTTGGGAAGATTACATTTTGCTGTGCACAGCCATTACTGCAGCTCAGATAATAACTAGCCAATGCATGGACCTGGATTATGATCCCTGTCATTGGAAACAAATTTGTGTTTTGAAGGTTGATCAGTTTCAAATCACCATTAGAAAGGGTTAATATGAAATACTGTGGGGGGTGTGGGTGTGTGTGTGCTTATGTGTATCTAATGGGTATGCATACATATAGTACATCAACTGCACTGTGCCTTTGGTATATTGCTTTCTCTGTCAATTTTTTTGTCCTCACTTCCCTTAAAGGAAATGTTAAAATGGTAATTATTTCTACCATAGCATATTATTTCTAGAATGTACTTGCTGAAATGCTTATGTTTGCAGATCAGATTGGAAACCTAATTTGACAGCTTCCTGGATGGGTGGTTACTGATAATAGTGTATCTAGCCAAAAATGAAAGATTGGTGGTATAGACTATAGGGTGAAGGTAAGGTCACCTCTAGTTGCCGTATATGGTATTGGTGCGATAATTGATGGTTGGCTGATAGTTAAAACCAAATGCATAAAGAGTTGAATTTCTTGTTAAGAATTAGCAGGTGTTTTGTGGCTAGAATTTAACCTTCAGGTATTCCGTCTGTACATGGAATGCAGTATTTTCTTTGTTTCTTACCTTGATGGTGAGAAAGAGAGTGGCTTTTTTAGGAAAACCTCCATTTTGTAGGGGATGATAAATTTAGTGTAAAATGAAGTGTAACATTGGTTATGTATTTTACTTTTTCAAATGTTTTGTTCAGTTTTTTTTTTTTAAGGGTATGTACTTTTTTCTTTGCGCTTGTTTTGTGATAATTCTGCGTTAATCCATTCTGCTCAGTGTTCTCCCTTGAATTCTACCTTACAGAGCTTTCCTAAGGTGGGCCTCTGCTCCATCTTATGGAAGGGGAAAACTGAGGCTTGGAGAATGATAATGACTTGATAGATTTGTTTGAGTTGACAGTGTAAGTTGATATAGAGAAGCTGGGAATATAATTCAAGTCTCCCCATTCAGTTCCAGTGGTTTCCCTAGATATTAAGGAAGCATCTGATAGTAAATTGCATAATTATTTTTCATGACCAAGAGGGGAGAAAATGGAAAAGTGTAAATTACTGTTTAGAAATTGTTGCCATGAGACATTGTCTATTCTGTCATAAAAGCAGTAACTTTCTCTGCTTCTTGTGGTGTTTGGCATTACTGATTTATGCCCAGAAGACCAAAGATTGCTTCTTCAAAATAACAAGATTTAGACACTTGAGGAAAATGTATGGTAATTTCAGTAGTTAATGAAGAGCGTATATTCTGTTCCGTTGGGTAAGTTTATCTTCAGATCCTGACTAGCTGAGAGAAGTTGTTGGAGCTAATATGGAAGCAAGTTAGTATATGTATTTTGGGGCAGTTTTGACATGGTATGATTTTGGCAAGTGACAGGACTGAAGCTGTTAATGGTCAAAGCCTGTGAAAGGAACACCACGTAGGACAGAAATAATGGCTTTTATTAGACAAACTTGTAGAAGTGAGAACGAGCTGAAGTACTTTCGATCATGAGTCCATTTTGACCATTTGAGTCAATGTTTTCTGAATTCCTATTTGTATGCTGGTAAATAATGGGTATTTTGGCAAGCATTAAGTTTAATACAGTTCTAAAGTCCAAGAGAAGTTTAAAAAGTGGAGAGGGGGAATTGGGGTAGAGGATTTAGGTTAGTACAATCCATCTTTCCTTCAACTGGAATTTTTATTTTATTGAGTACACAAATGAGAATGAAGTAGGTTATTTCCTTCCCCCTTCCACCTCCTTGGCATGTGCATATGTAGTTAGTTACTCAGTGTATGTTCAAACAAAGCCTGCATCTAGGAGACCTGAAATATTACAGGATTTGAGTACCTTAGCCAAAGCATAGTCAAAGGCTTTAAACAGTGCTGCCATTTCACATTCATGCAAATATAGCAAGCCTTTGCTTCCTTTTAGTACCTGTGGCTACTAATGAAACTGGCAGTTAATACTTAACCAGCTTTATTCGATATCTCGGGTATGACTCTTAAGTGTTGTAAGTGGAAATTTTTCTGATGTGCATCAGCTCCTTTTGCCTAGAATTGCCCTCTTATTTGAGGAATGTTTAAGCACATGCAAAGGAAAGCTTTTAGGGCCACTCCAGGCCTTTTAAGGTATCTTAGCTGACTTGGCGCTCTCACCTGTTTTGGAACACTCACTTGGTCTCTTCACTTTTCAGCTGTGTGGGGCAGCTCAGGACATCTGTATCTTAAACTACTGAAATGTTCATCCACAGCAATTGTCTGATAGTAGGTGACACCTTAGGAGCACTTTTGTTGAAGTTACTCAATAGAACTTGAAACAGAGGAAGAATAAGACTTGATATATTGATATTGGCCTCATTATGGTTTTTTAAGCTTACGTCTTTGATAGCTTTCTTCTTGCAGAATGAATAACTTTAAACATGGAGTGGTACTTTGAAACAATTGTCTTAAGGTTTTTTTTAATCTTTTGTCTGAAAGCTTGTTGGGGGCCAGTTTGACTTGGAAATGAACTTTATCATCCAAGAAGGAGAGGGCATCACCTGCATGGTAGACTTGCTGGACAAGTGTGACATCACCTGCCAGGCTGAAGTGTGGAGCATGTTTACAGCAATCTTGAAGAAAAGTATACGCAATCTACAAGCATGCACAGAAGTGGGGCTCGTTGAACAAGTGCTCAAGAGGATTGATAAAGCTGACAACATGACTGCAGGTACAGTCTCACCCAGTGTATGACTCAAACTGTATTCCTTTTATGTAAAATTTTATGGAAACATTTATTAATTAAGTGATAGAAATTTGACATTGTGTTTTATTAAGCAATTATATTGCTGTTCTTTTCCTTTTCAGATCTCTTAGTGGATATGCTGGGTGTGTTGGCTAGCTATAACTTGACAGTTCGAGAGCTAAAGTTATTCTTCAGCAAGCTTCAAGGAGAAAAAGGGAGATGGGTAAAAGAACACACAAAACTGAAACCATTTTTGTAGTGTTGCTTATATATTTCCTAATGTTCACAAGTTAAAAGGCTGTTTGATAACCTTTATGATAAATGAATGTTAAAAGTACCAAGAAATACAGGATGCTTTCTGGTATTATATCAATTAATCTTTTTACTTGCAAGCAATTAAAATACAGAGAGTAGAATAGTGATGAAATTAAATTTCCTGCTGGATCTGTGGACTGGATTGGTCTTTTTGAACACCTGGGAATAATATGGTGACTCTAAGCAAGTGTTTTCATGCACATGTTTTTATTTTTGTAATTCCAGTTATGTGAAATTGAAGGAAAAAGGATTAATTTTTTTTTTTAAGACAAAAGAGAGAAATAAATAAAAAATGTCTACATAGGCAATTCAGTGTGTTCCTATTTTCACATTGTTCTTCTTCACCTGAAGATTGAAAAAAATTATCTACTTAGGGAAGTGAGAATTTGCGGCAGAAATTGAAATGAAGGAAATAAGCTCCAGCTGAAAAACCATATCATGTGTTTTCTCCTGTTCCTGTAGGAACTAGAAAGGGAGAAGAGGGTCTCTCTTTACTGTTGAGAACCTCCTTCCCTAAAGTAAAAATGTGTATGTTGTAGAGGCCACCACATGAAGTTTTCTTTAATACAAAATTGTTGTTTTGCTGGAATTGGGAACTATTTTAACAGTTGTTTTACCTGCTTTGAATTTTAATTCAGCTCCTGTTATCTCTAACTTTAAACTTAATAATTGAACGTACAGAGTATATTTAACCATAGATGAATTAAAGTTGTCTCTGTAACATTAACTTTTTAATTTCCTGTGTCTCTGCTATTTGCGTTTAATTTCCTTTCTTTATTAAAGACTAAATATAGAGGAAAGGAAGAGAAAAATGCCACAGTTGCATTGCTAAGGAGTTGCACAACTCCATAAATCTTAAAATCAGCAGTGTTGTAAAGATACAAAGTATTTGGCTACAACACAAATTGCCTAGTTGAATTCTGTAGTGCTGAAGACATCTAAGCAGTTCTCAGTGTTTCCTCCTCAATTGTAATTCAGATTCATGAAGCACTGTTTATCTGACTATAATTTTGGTACATTTGAAATACTAGTAATGGATCAGGCAATGCTTAGTTTTCAGAAGGTGGCTTCTTGCAAGAGGGGAAAAAGGGCACTTTCAGGAAAAGATCAGAGGTGTAAAATTGTAGGCTAAAAATAGATCTACTGGAAAGTTATGAAGTGGTAAAAGAAGACGCACAAAATTGTTCTGTCAGCATGACCAGTATTTGTGGTACTTCTGTTGTTGTGAGCTCATATACTTGATTCGGAGTTTATAGTTGCTGAGCATTACAACAAAATCAATGCAGAATTAGGGTGGTGGTGGGGAAGTGTTAAGTATTGACACTAACTGAGCACTCAGTTTAGGTGCTCCAAACTGCCCTTGAGACTTGAATCTTTCTCTATGGACTTATATGAAGGGATATATGTAACCAAAGACACTTTAATCTAGTGTATGACTGTAGTCCTGATGAAAATAGTCCTGTCTGCTGATCCTTCCTCTCCCTTTTGCTAGGTACTCCCCATTTCCCTTGTGCTGGCACAGGTTTCACGCAGCCACAGTCCAAACCTGCTGTAACTGAAAATTGGTTTGCATTTGTGTTTCCTAAATTAGTTTTAAGCTGGATCAGTTAATTTTCTTTAGCTCACTGCAAATCCACACAAATGGTAGCATGGGTGGGAAGGAACACATAGAGGGAGGAACCAACATTCAGGGTCAGTTTAGTATATGCTGGATGAAAGTGGCCCTGACCTTTAAGTCCTTAATTTAGTTATCCAATTAATTGTATTTCAGTGCACCTACTGTGTATTGTGTGAAGGTATCCATGACTCTTTGTTAATGTTGTTTATTGAAATTGCTAAGTGTCTTAGCAGAGTATTACTCAACCATGTGCAAAGCTTTAAAATGTGTCAAAATTCATTTCTTGTGTGTATAGTATTTTCTTTCTTATAGGTGTGTTTTATTTATTTACAAGTGTAATAATTCTCTTTGTCAGCCACCACATGCTGGGAAGTTATTGTCTGTGTTAAAACACATGCCTCAGAAGTATGGACCTGATGCCTTCTTCAACTTTCCAGGAAAAAGTGCTGCAGTATGTAAATATTTTAAGTCTCTTGTTTTTTTGTTTGTTGTTCTATTATGGCCATTGGTTATTTTCATTTGTGGTGTTCTTTTGTCTCATCTGTCATTGTCATAGACATACAGTTTTAAACAGAATTTTTTTTCTCTGCCTGACACCTACATTATGACTAAGTAAATCATGCTTATAATAAATGTGCATTATCACTATAAAAGGACAAATGCTATTACATAAAGAACGGATGTAAATGAAGCTTTTTTTTTTTTTTTTTTTTCTCTCCAGACTGGTACAGTTAAGTCTTGTTGCAAGGAGAATATGCCGCTTTTCACTCCCATGTTTCTGTGGGAATGGTGCTTGTGTTAGTATCCAGTATGTCTGAGAGCGGCTTTGTGGTGGCTTGACCTTGGCTGGACATGACTGCCCACCAAGCTGCTCTATCACTCCCCCTCCTCAGCTGCACAGGGGAGAGAAAATGTAATGAAAGACTCGTGGGTTGAGATAAGGACAGGGAGATCACTCACCAGTTGCCGTCACGAGAAAAACAGATTCAACTTGAGCAAATTAATTTAATTTATTACCAATCAAATCAGAGTAGGGTAATGAGAAATAAAAGCAAATCTTAGAACACCTTTCCCCCACTCCTCCCTTCTTCCTGGGCTCAACTTCACTCCCGATTTCTTTACCTCCTCCCCCTGAGTGGTGCAGGGGGATGGGGAATGGGGGTTGCGGCCAGTTCATCACATGTTGTCTTTGCTGCTCTTTCCTCCTCACACTCTTCCCCTGCTCCAGCGTGGGGTCCCACCCATCGGAGATAGTCCTCCACGAACTTTTCCAATGTGGGTCCTTCCCACAGGCTATAGTTCTTCACTAACTGCTCCAGCACGGGTCCTTTCCACCGGGTGCAGTCTTTCGGGAACAGACTGCTCCAGCGTGAGTCCCCCATGGGGTCACAAGTCCTGCCAGCAAACCTGCTCCAGCGTGGGCTCCTCTTCACGGGTCACAGGTCCTGCCAGAAGCCTGCTCCAGTGCAGGCTTTGCATGGGGTCACAGCCTCCTTCAGGCTCATCCATCCGCTCCGGCATGGGGTCCTCCGTGGGCTGCAGGTGGATATCTGCTCCACTGTGGACCTCCATGGGCTGCAGGGGGACAGCCTGCTTCACCATGGTCTTCACCACAGGCTGCGGGGGAATCTCTGCTCCGGTGCCTGGAGCACCTCCTCCCCATCCTTCTTTATTGACCTTGGTGTCTGCAGAGTTTTTTTCTCTCACATATTCTCACTCCTCTCTTCCACCTGCTGTTGCGCAGCAGTTTTTTCCTCCCTTCTTAAATACGTTATCCTAGAGGCGCTACCACCGTCGCTGATTGGCTCGGCCTTGGCTGGTGGCGGGTCCATCTTGGAGCTAGCTGTATCGGACATGGCGGAAGCTTCTAGCATCTTCTTACAGAATCCACCCCTGTAGCCCCCCTGCTACCAAAGCCTTGCCACGCAAACCCAACACAGCCTTACATCTAGAAACCTTTGCTAGTGAAACCACAGAAGTGTTGAACTAGAAGTGGCCATACTCACACCATTTGTTAGTTCTTTTAGTGATCAGATAATGTGAACAGCATACATTGCTTATAAGAATTCTCTGAGAAAACATGGATCCTAGGCATGTATAGGTTGAATAATACTGAAAGAGGATTAAATTTAACAATAATTAGTCTTTTCATAATTGTTCAGGTGACAGATTAATTTTTAAGTTCTGTGGTGTTCACTTGACAAAGAATTTGAAACTAAATATGTAGTTGGAAAATGCTGTGCAGAATCTTCTGTAGGAATTTAAGTATATCAACACTTTTGCTCCTAAAATCATAGGATGAAATGAATTGTAGTATGTTCAAAATTTCATGCTTAATTCAGAATAAGGTTTGAATAAGATTTATCAGATGACTCTTTCCAGTTTTCTTCACATAAACCCATTACATTTCTGCCTCAGTGGCTTGAGATTAAATTTCACCAACTTGGTGACATAATGATTTTTTTTGTTTTTGGAATGAAAACTTGAGACTGAAAAACGCACACTACTAGAAAAATGCTTCTGCAGTTATATGTTATATCACATGCAACAGAACTTGGCAATAGACATGTTTTTGTTCCTTTTGGCAATTCATGTACTGTTTTTGTATTTAACTTCTAATAATTGTGTTGAATGCTTGAACCGTATGTGATATTGGGTGCCTCAGTAACCTTAATGTGAATATTCTTACATGTTTTTAAATGAAGAAGCCTTAGAAATTAAGTATTTAATATAATTACTCCAAGATTCATTGTGAGTTAAACCAAATGATAGTGCTACCGGTTCCCAAAAGTTGGGCTCAAAGACATGCAGACTGATTAGTTAGCTGGTACAGAGAAGGATTTACAGCATTTTGTTTGGACAGGGATAGCTGAATGGTGCATGGGAGCATAATGAGTCTGGCGACACTCAAGTTCTTTGATGTTTTTTGTTCATTGGTATTGATCATCTGGACAGCATCTTTGATCAGAGGTCATGGCAGTCTTAGTTGAAGTGTGTATTGCAAATCTGTGCAGCAAAACAGTGGAAAGTTAATAGTAATGTTAAAAAACCCCAACCAAACAAAAACCCCCACACAATAAAACCCAACTGTTTGAAACAAAGGGCCCCACCACATAGTTTAGAACTTAAGAGCTTTTGAGCTAACATAAACACAGTGTTTGATATGAAGATTTTGGCTGGTGGGGATTGTATTACCTTTCTTTTAAGGAAGTTTATAAGTATGTCGTATTCTAACTGGAAGGCTACATAGACATGAGTTTCAAGAGAGAAAAGAATTTGTTAAGTGAAATGTATATGATTATCTTTTGGTGGCTAGCTTCTTTTCATAAGCAGTTATTTTCCTGAATACCAACACTATGCGAAAATAAGTTTATATATCTGATTATTCTGTCAGGTTACCACAAACCCAAATCAACTTGAATTTGCATTTTGAGGAGGTTTTTATGCTGTAAGGCTTCCACTAAAGCATTTAATTTTTGAAGTGTAGGTTACTATTAATAATCTTCTTTGAGATATAAAGACCAGTTTTTAAATATTTAGATTAATTAGATATTTTAACAATGGAGTACAAAAAGCACAGAAGGTAGGCCAGTTTTTTTTTTTAGTATAGAGAAGCTGTACACATTTGTAGTGTATGCATTTGTAGTGTGTATCTGTATATCAATATACATTTGTAGTGTATATCTTAAGCTGTATACTTTTACTATTGTGATGTTGATCTTTCTACATGAATAACTTTTTGCTTTCTTTAGGCTATTGCCTTACCTCCTATAGCCAAGTGGCCGTACCAGAATGGGTTTACTTTCCACACTTGGCTAAGAATGGATCCTGTAAATAATATCAATGTGGATAAGGATAAGCCTTACTTATATTGGTGAGTATTATGTAAAACTGTATTTCTGATGTTCAATTTCTATTAATCGTTCAATGATTTCTGCTTCCATATGTATATGTGCTGATTTTGTTCTAATTTGTTAGTTTTCGAACAAACAAAGGACTTGGTTATTCTGCTCACTTTGTTGGAGGCTGCTTGATTGTAACGTCCATAAAATCAAAGGGAAAAGGTTTCCAGCATTGTGTAAAATTTGATTTCAAGCCACAAAAGGTGAGTAAAAATGATAAAATATTTCAAACAGGTTTCATGAATTTAAAAATGTAGCCTAGGGGGAGCGTTGTAGCTATTGATTAGGCTCGTCTTTCTGTATAAGAACAGTTACAGTGGAATGAGCAAAACAAATTTGTGTTCTGAATTCTTATTTCTTTTTAATTTTACTTATGAAATAAGTAAAGTATAAGAAAGAGCTAGAAAATGCAGTTTACCAGAAGTCTTATGAACTTGTGAGACTTGTGCGAGTTCTCTGAGAACTCTTAGTACGTATACACAGCTTTATAGTTACAAGGCTTGTGATTTTTTTCCTTCTCTGTTTACTGTGTTTTCTCCCACCTCTGGACATTCTCTTCTCTTCCTAAAGGGTTTTACTAAGGCTTCCTTTTATGTCATTACTTACTTGATGTGGACAAATGCAGTGTTATTTTAAGGAAGAATGATTACTAACCCACATTTCGTTTTCCTAATCAAGTTAGGACCATTAATAGGAGTCTAGTCTTCTTGCACATGGGAGAACAACAGATTCATTCTTGAAAAAATGTTATACTTTATGTTCATTCAGATTGTCCAGAAAATAGCCTCCCTGCATTTGGTACTTTATGTACCTTTTTAAATGCAAGAATTAAAATATGAGTTGATTTTATTATTGATGCTCAAGGCTTGCTTACCTATTAAGTAGTATTATGCTATGTTGAAAATGTTTCCTTTTTCAATTAGATACTCTGCTAATGTTTCTGGAGCAACTGGTGTAAACATTTTGTGGGAGATCAGGCCTCCTCAGGAATTTCTTATCAGTAATCCCTTGCTGTAAATATGGATTCTGTTTATGATAATTTGACATGCACAGCTTTTGAAAGTCTTCAGTCTGGAGGCATCCTTGCTCTTTGGAATGACAACATTTGCAGTAGTCCATCATGCTAAGAGTAACCCAACTTAAAACTTATTTACACAGTGGTTTCAGTGTAAATTTGGTTCAGCATTGCCATGAAGATTTTTTGAGTTCTATGCCGTAAATATCTTTTAAGCTTCTGTGTCTACTTTTTGTGGAAAAAATGGCATGTTATCCTTTGACATAGCTATGCAAGAAAACTCACCAGTGACTTAATCTTTTAATCTTAAAATAAATCTTTCAGTCTTAATTTAATTCACATAAATAGTTGAATTTGTCCTACTATGCCCCATTTTAATGTGTAAGCTACTTTAAATGTCTATAGAATTGTATCAATTGTTTTTTTATCATTTAGTGGTATATGGTTACTATAGTGCACATCTACAACCGCTGGAAGAATAGTGAACTTCGATGTTATGTGAATGGAGAACTGGCATCTTACGGAGAAATAACATGGTTTGTCAACACCAGTGATGTAAGTAATCACTGTACACTAATATCTATAGTTGATCATCTTGATGGATTAAATAAATATCCTTTGCCATTTTATTAATAAATATCCCCCACTTTATGCATTTTTAAAAAATCTTGAAATAAAATTAATAACTTTTTGGTGGAGGAGTAGATTCTGCTTTTATACATCTCAGAACTTAAAATTTGTTTCTGCTGAGACCCTCAAATGCTTCTTTATGTAAAAATAATATTCCTTGATAAAATGTATATTCTTTGCATAATTTGCTTGTGTAGCATAGATTAAACCCCGTGACTGGGTTCTGTTTCATTTTCAGACATTTGACAAATGTTTCCTGGGTTCTTCAGAAACAGCAGATGCCAATCGAGTATTTTGTGGGCAAATGACGTCCGTTTACCTTTTTAGTGAGGCTCTCAATGCTGCTCAGATCTTTGCCATTTATCAGCTTGGTCTGGGATATAAGGTATCTTAGAATTGACTGTAAAGTTTCCAAAGTTTAATTCTGATAAGACTCTTCGTAGTGGGTTTTAAGAATGTTGTGACACCTCTGTGTTGTTCTAAAAATGTTCTTACTGTGTAATCTTTTTATTAAACTCTTCCATGTTTCTTCATATGTATCATAGGCGATACATAAGCCTATGTATCGCCTCACAAACTACAAGTAAGCATTAATTCAGTTACTTAATTTCTTATAAAAAATAAATTTGTGTTCCTCTCTACTTCTCAAAATTTCCATGTTGGTGGTTGGGAGAGGGAGAACACCCTCTGGCTAGGTTCACTTTTCCATTGAGGCTGAAACTAGATCAGGTATGATGTATTTGTTTTAGAAATGTAGCTTTATAGTTGATTGTGCTAGTCAGTTTTTTTAATGTGTGAAGTTAGTGCTGAGGATTAGTTTTGTTGCAGTGATTTATTATTTGTTTTGTCATAGCCTGAGGGGCACTAATTGAAGACTGTTATTCCCTAGCAGCTGTACAAACATACGCTAAAAAAGATGGTTCCTATTCTATCTGCTTCTCAATTATTAGTTCCTTCTGAGTGAACATTGCTGACTGTCATTCTGTTTCCTAGCTAATGTGTTTCTTTTACATTACCCACCATTTTGGCAATGTTATTCTTCAGGGGTCAAAAAAAATTCTGCAGTTCTAACTCTGTAAAATTGACTTTGAGTTAATGTTCTTATGAGACCCCCTGCTTTCTGAAATATTGCTAGATTGAAGAAGCAATGTTCTAGTCATTTTTTGGCAATAGTTGTGTTCTGAACCGTATTCTCAACGTGTGTAATCTAATTTTTTTTTTTTCCTCCCTCAACCCTGCTCCCCAATCCAGGGAACATTCAAATTCAAGGCAGAAAGTGATCTCTTCCTTGCTGAACATCACAAATTGTTGCTATATGATGGCAAACTATCCAGTGCTATTGCTTTTATGTACAATCCAAGGGCTACAGATGCACAGCTGTGTCTAGAGTCATCCCCTAAGGATAACCCTTCTATTTTTGTTCATTCACCACATGCCCTCATGCTGCAGGTATTTCAACATTTTCATAGATTTGGAGGATACAAATGATTTCTGTTTGAAAACCTAAAAATCAAGTTTTATAGGGATTTGGACAAGATAGGGAACTGCTGATAGGTTGGGTTTTTTGGCTTGTCCCTGCTGCTGCCTCCCCTTTTTCTTGAATTAATGTGGATGCACAAGAATCCTAGGAAAAAAGTTTATCAAAGTTACACGCTAAAAAATGTGCGTGTTAGACTGTGTTCTCTTTTCAAAAAAATCCTTCTTCCTTTTCTGACCTATGTTCACTCCCCTACAGATATTACCTATCTCCTGTCCTTTGCCCTGTTGATATGATACCCTTTTCTTCCCTATGCTTTGAACTCCTTAATCTTTTAATTTGTCAGAAGCTTTTCCTGTGTTCTGTACTAGAGTTTCTCTATTACTAAAGACTGTTTTAGAGTTTGCAAGCCACCTCCTGTATATTCATCTGAGGATCTACACTGTAGGCTGTATCTAAAGCAGTAGGTCAACCAGACTGGGCATTTAGTGTGGCTGTGGCAGCCAGTTTGTACTTCTTGCTGTTTCTTTTTATTTGGTAGTAATACAATTTTTATATTGAAGAAATTTCAAACTATCTCTAACGAACTTTTTAACAGTTTCTGAAGGAGATTTCAATATTTTTTAATTCTTCTTTGTCAGGATGTGAAAGCAGTCTTAACGCATTCTATCCAAAGTGCCCTGCACTCCATTGGAGGGGTGCAGGTACTTTTCCCTCTCTTTGCACAGTTAGACTATAGGCAATATTCATCGGACCACGTTGACACGACTGTTTGGTGAGTGCATGTACTTATTGTGTTCTGTTCTTTGTTTCTTTTTAAGTAAAGGAAATTACCTCTTGCTTTATTAAGTGGCCTAGTGGTTTAAATTGTCTTGTGCAACAATGAGTTATGTCTAACAACAAAAAGGTGGCCTTGTTACAGGCAGGACCTCAAAGTGAAGTGTTTATTTGTACCAAATTTTCTGTGGAAGTCCACACAGAATCAAAATGTACACATATTTTCTACTTCACAATTGTTTTTGTGTAACAGAATTACAGACAACTCTCTTGAGCTTATTCCTGTCATGGAGAAAATCCAATGGTGAAGGCTTCAAGAGAAACTCCAGGAAAGATGAATTTTTCAGCTACATGAAGTTATTCCTTGGAATTTTTTTGTTGTTTTTACTTTCAGACTTTCTGGAAGATACTGTTATTCAGTGTTACTGCCAGGCTTTTCCTCTGGTTTCAGCTCTGTTTCAACTCAGTGCAACTTCTGAACATCCAGGCACAGAAACTGTTGGAGCTCCTAAGTTAAAGAGTAGTATTAATAGCAATGGGACTGCTTTTTAGAATCCTGGTGTAGTTTGCTCTGTTTCATTGCAATTGTAGTTTCATGACTGTTTAAAGATGATCTACATCCCTATTGTTGCTAAGAAGGGGTGGTCACAATGTTTCTTCAGCCCATTTGTACATTCCTGGGCTTCTCTTGAGCTGGCTCAGACTTGGGCATCTATGTGATGAGTCAGGGATTTGATTCAGTTGCAAACTGGCCCAGCAATAGAGGGGTTTTCAGCTGGCTAAGGTCTTGATTCGTAGGTACTAGCGCTCTGACACAAGGCGAGGGGCATGAACATTCCTTCTGGCAGCAGCACAGAGTTGAATTAGCTTGAACTGATAGTAAAGCTGTGTCTAGAAAAATATTTCCAATATCTGCTCATCTGAAAGCAGTAGAAGTGGAATGGCATTTGTTACTGATCTTGCAGAAGTTTGTAAGTGAAATACAAAGCAGAGAGAAGTACACGCTTAACTGTTGCCTTTCTGCAAGAATGTATTTTCAGAAGAATTTTGCTATGGCATGGTTATCTCAGAATCCAGAGCTTCCAAGTCAGAGATGCATTAATTAAAAGCAAGAAGTTTAGAGCTTTCAAAATTTAGTCTTTTTGTTTTAAAAATTCTGATCTGAGCTTTTATAGAACACATTAAATGTATCTCTGGGTTGTGTGATGGAAGTGTTAATTTGGAAATACTTTCACATTGTAATCCTTTAAAACATTTTTCTTTACTAAAACATTATATTTTTCAGTTCTACTTTATTGGCTTTCATCATGGAGTTGTTGAAGAACTCCATTGCTATGCAAGAACAGATGCTTTCCTGTAAGGGCTTCCTTGTGATAGGATATAGCCTAGAAAAGGTAAAGCAAATCTTTCTTAATGTCATACATTAACGTTGATTTTTTTTTTTTTTTTTTCTTTTTTGAGATAAATACTCTTCCTAGTCTGTTGCCGGGCTCTTCCTTAAGCAGATCTTCTTTTACAGTCTTCCAAAGCCCATGTTACCCGAGCTGTACTAGAACTTTGCCTTGCCTTTTCAAAATATCTGAGCAACTTACACAATGGGGTGCCCTTGCTGAAGCAGCTGTGTGATCATGTTCTCCTTAATCCTGCAATATGGATTCATATCCCAGCACAGGTAAAATTGCTTATTCTTATGAATAAGGTATCTTATGATGTATCGATTTGTGAGTGTTTAGACTAAGCCTGGACTCCAAGAATTATAGGTCCTGGCTCCCCAGCAGAAATCATTCAGGAACTGTTTTCAGACTCTGCTTTTCTGCATGTAGCTGTTAAGTTTTGCAGACTCCCAAGGTTTTCAGGGAGTTTGGAAACCTGCAGTGGTCTGCAGAGCAGAGCTGGGAGTGACTTCTGGAGTCCCTGACCCAGTCAGTGTTGTAGATTGAGAAAGAATTTTGGATGGGTTAGTTGGCAAAAACCCAGCAATTTTTAAGATAAATTATCCTGCATGTCAGATTTGAAGTCTTCATTTAAATTGACATATTCCCTGCAGAGTATTTTTGTTTTGGTGAATCTGTGTTCTCTGGGAGCGAACAGCTTGGATGGAAGCTTTCCAGTTGGTTCTACTTGAAACCTTCCTACCAGGTTTTTTGATCCCCTCCATAAGGGTTTGTTTTGCATTTCAAAAACTGAGACAGCACAATGCTACAGTTGAAGTCGTTGTAAAACATTTATGTTTGCTACAGCTAAATTAAATTATTAAGTATTATTTAAGTCATTATTTCTCAGAATAAAAAGGGAAAGAAGATATGTAAATAATTAAGCCTCTAATGAATACTTAAGCCTCTAATAAATATGCACCTTTCTGTAATATTTCCTGTGTGACCCTGTTCTGAACAGAGAGGCTGGACTAGATGATCTCCAGAGGTGCCTTCCAATCTCAGCTATTTGTGATTGTGTGAATACCATGCTTTCATGCTCCTATGAGTGTGGATCAGCTTAAAAAACCCACAGCACTCTATAGTTTTAGAAATAAAATGAAATTTTTCGTGAGTTTGCAAGGGTTTTAAGAGCTTTGTGACTGAGGTATGCAGAGAAAAATCTATGCCTTTAAGATATTTTAATAGATGAAAATTAAGAATGCAGTTGTCTGATGTGCTGCAATTTTGCTGTAATGGTTTTTGATCTCCTGATTGGGTGTTGTAGGTTCAGCTGATCCTGTACACTTACCTGTCTACTGAGTTCATTGGCACTGTTAACATATATGGTGCAATCCGGCGGGTTGGGACAGTTCTTTTGGTCATGCATACCCTAAAGTATTATTACTGGGTAGTGAATCCTCAGGATCGCAGTGGTATAACTCCCAAGGGCATAGGTATGTATTCATTTCTACTCTCACAAGCTGATTTTTGTTTTAAAAAAATGTTGTATACAATGTATAGAACAGAACTGTAAATGTTCCAGAAAGAATTTGATTTTAATGGGTGGGTTCACTGTAACAGTTTGAGCAGTGTGCTTTTGTCCATAGGATATTCTTGAAAGCTTTTTTTTCACAATCTAATGGAAACTTTCTTCAGAAGTCATATCCTCTGTCATCAAAGACCTATGTGAATTAATACTAGGTAGAACTGGTTAGAGAAATGGTAGGGTTTGGAAGTGTAGAGCTGTGCCTGGGAATGTGGTCTCTTTATGGAGCTTGTTCAAGTACTGGACAGTTTAAGTGCTTGTAAAATCTATTGATAATAGTAGTATGGCTGAAAACAGGCATGCTGAGTCTATCTGACATGCGTAGGGATCTGAACTTGTTGGAAAACTGCTTAATAAGCATGCTTAATCCAGACAGCGAACTCATGGCAAAAGAAGTAATAAGAAATTTAGAACAGGTGTTTAGTACTTGTCATTGACACGGAACACAGAACAAGAATACTGATCCTAGGAAAAAAGCAAATGGAATAGCTGCTTGTCTAAGAAATCCAGTACTGTAAAAGGAACTGGGAGAAGTGAAATGTGCACCAGCATAACATAAACACGTGCGGAAGGAACTGGCACAGATAAGGCAATTAATGCTGTTAGGAAGTATGACTACAACTCTTCTAATTGTTGTTCTGTGTTTTATGGGGTTGGGCACACGGCCTTGGCAAAGGGAGAATAACTTACATTTGTGCTCTCTCCTGCAATGAAGAAAGGCTCTGGAATTTTAGAGAGAGAAGCAGGTGATGAAAGAGAGCTAGATGTACTGGGAGTGAGTGCTCCTTAGATGTGTCTGACTTCCTGTCAACAACATCTCAAAATGACCAACCCTTCCTGTTAAAGGGTTGCAAACATTGTTTTGTAGTATTTTGCATCCTGTAAGAAGCAAAGCATGTGTGTGTTTCTCCTTTCTTTTTAGTGAAGACATGGATTTACTTAATTAGTTTCTGAACTGATTTATTGAGCCTGAGGCAAGTGTATGTGTAGGATAGTCTTCCTAATACAGTTTAATGGCTTATTTTGACTAGACTGGTCTATATTGAAAATAACTATTCTTAACCCAAATATGCCTGTGGGCCTATACTGTATAAAACCAGACTCGTATGATCACTTACATTTGCTAGATGATTTGCTTTCCCCTGATGATTAAGATCATAAGAACTGTGAACCTATGAGCAAATGTAAAAACTATCCCTAGAAATGTATTTGCAACAGTTCATTTGCTTTCTGTATGAAAGCTTTTACTTGGCTTTGACATTTGGTTGCACCTGTTTTCTTAACCTTGCCTCTCCTGGGAACTACTCAGTGTTTGAGTACTTAAAATGTTTCAGTGAAAGTCTGCTTTACACAAGAATGGCAGAAGCAAGTCCTTTTGACTGAGTTAACAAATTAAGTCATGGCTTTCAAGGTAATCTTTATATATAGCATTGTAACATTGATTTTTGTTGTGTATGTAGCCAATGTGTAATACTGGCATGTTCTTCCTTTAGAGCTTTAGCAGAAGAACGTTTAAAAACAATAGTAAACTGCAAAAAGTTGAAGTCTGGAAATTCTGACATAAAGTTCTTGTATCAATCTTATTCCTTGCATGAAGTTGGTTCATAGACACTGCAAGAAAGTGGTAAAATCATGAAAAGAATTTAGAGGGGTTTAGAAAACTGTTTTTAATAAAAGTTTTAGTAGAACCTCACTGGTTGGGCATTTTGCTAATAAACAGTGATAAAGCGCATTACTATTTTGTAGTCTGAAGTGGAGGAAAGATAACTTTACTTAGAATTGTGCCCTCTTCACTCAGAAAATGCCTTTTATTTTTCTTTATGTGAAAATGTATACTATGCTAACTATAACAAGTGCTAATTTGCATTTCCTATACCTATTTTTCTTTTTGTAGATGGGCCACGGCCTACTCAAAAAGAGATTTTATCTCTGCGAGCATTCTTGTTGATGTTCATTAAACAGCTAGTGATGAAGGTAGGATAACTTTAAATTATGATAGGATATCTAATTTTCCTTTCATAAAGAAATGCTCTTTAATATAGCGTTATTTTCTAAGCATGTTGAATTTTGTAAACAAATAAGTAAATAGAAATACTATGTAAGGTGCATCTTTTTGTTGTGACTCTTGCCACGAACAGCAGTGCTAAAGATGCATTTTTCTCCCTTTTAAGCTGGTTTTATCAAAAGCGGAGCTGTTAAATCATTAGCTTAGAAATGTTTACTACTGGGGAAATAAGTATTTGATTCCTTTTTTTTTTTTTTTGACAAGAACAATATCACCTGCATCAGAAATGCTTAAAGGCTAAAGAGCAACATTTGACATTATATGCTGTGGGCCACTGGGACCAGAGGAGCATAAGAAAAGACTCTATCAATAAGTTTCACAACTGTTTGTTTGACATTAAAGGAATATTGAAATTCAGTTCTACTGCTTATAGACTCTTCTGAACCCTTTCCTATTGTAAGCTCTGATCTCTTTCTTCATCTCTCCCCCCTGTAGACTGACTTTTCTGTGTTTGAATATAGCTCCCTTTTTCCCTCTCTATCTGTGTTGCTAAGGGACCAGTATGCTCTCTGTGCTGCTATCCTTAGCCCCAACAGTATGGAGGAGTAACTACCAAAAAAGTTCTGCTCTTGACTCTTGTACTCTTTCTTTAAATTGGATGTTCTGCAACTGAAGTATCAGGGACAATTTAGCTATCAAACTCTAAAAGACTTTAATTAAGTGTTAGCTTCATTTTTATTTATTTTTTAAAATTTCTGTCAGAGATTTATAACTTGGACAGTTTTGGATAGAGTTTCACAAGGACAGTAAAAAGCATGTCCATCATAAAAGGTTGATTCTTCTGCAAATTTTCTATTTGTACACAGTGGTGCAAAATCTTTTCAGGAAATGAGAGACTTACTTGAAAAAATAAAAGCCCTAGAAATGAAGAAGCCTGCTTTTCCCTTACCTCATCCTGTTCTTAGAAACTGTTGGTTTTTATTTTGTTTTCACCAAAAAGACCTTAAGGCATATTCCTGATGTAGACACCATAAATGATTTAAATTTCTGCAGAGTTGATAGCAACTGAAGATAGGGTTCTGTAGAGGAAAATAAGAAGCAACTTCAGGTGCAGTCATAGCTAACAGGCTTATAATTAAACATCCAGGTCTACTTTTGAATCTTCTTTGCCACCTTAATTTAATTCTTCTATTAATAGGAAGGTCTCAGTTCAAATTATCTATATCAATTAACATGTGTTACTCTAACAATTTCATATACTATATTACTATCTAGCTTATTTTTATGCCTGTATTGGAGTCTTAAAGTCTTAAAGCACTTTTATAACCTTCAGTGGGTATTTCTTGGGCAGGGAAAAAGCTACCTTCCATCTATGAAGCCATTATAGTGCCAAGTGAAAACAAATTTGTCTTGTGGGGCTTGCTCTGTATATAACCATTGCTTGTAATGACACTCTTTTGGGAACAGTACTTTTGCACTTGAAAGATGATAGTTAAAACCTGATTGTTTTTAAAGGACTATGGAATAAAAGAAGATGAATTGCAGGCTATCCTCAATTATCTGCTCACTATACATGAGGTAATTTTTAATTTGGGGGGTGTGTGGGAGGAGAGGTGTACTACTTCTGCTGTTTGTGACCACCAAATATTTGAAAATATTCAAATATTACCTTCCTTATGCCACAAGATGGCTCTGTAGAGGAAGTAGCAAACATTGTCCAACTCTTCAGTGTAGTGTGCTGAATTGCCAATATTCTTGCAGTGATTTAAGCACTATGTTCAATGTTAGATTGAAGTTCATTAAGCCAGTAAGTCAAAATGGTTTCTTATGTTGTACTGCAAACCGATTTACCAAGCAGAAAAACAGATGGTGAGACTGACTTTAAAAAAAAGACAAAAGCTTGTTTTATGCTGCCTAAGTAATATTTTTTGTTTTGTTTTTCTCTCTTTTTTATTTTGCTTCTTAAATAAAGCAATAAAATTGAAAACATGCATTAAAAAATAAAGATGTATGTTAATGGCATCTAAGAGAAGCATATAAACTTAATTGGGAGAAAATGTTGGTTACCACTGATACATCTGCATCTTCATATTTTAGCACCAGGAAAAGGCACTTTATGCCAGATGCAACATCAAAGACAAGGGAAATGGGGACATAAATCTAACTGATCTCATCTCTGTAAGGGTGCTTGAAATGGGTAAAATAAGGAATTAATTGAACTTCACTTCAAGCAGTATGGATTTTTTTCTTTTTTTGTTTACACCTATATTTTCCTTTTATTCTCTGTGCTGGTTACTACTACTTGGTAGTACCATGGTCAAGCAATTTAAGTCATTCTACTTTATATGGAGATGTAAAAAATAAGACTCTTGGTAACATGTAAGAGTAAACCAAAATAGCAGAAGCTTTATATAGCCTTCAGATGAGGAGGTGATATTTTAACTATCTTAGCAGTTTGCATGGTCAAGTCTAAAAGATCCATGAATGCTGAATCCCACAGAATTAGGTATCTAGTTGTAAATTCAGAAAAACATCAACAAAAAAAGTAAAATTCGGCCTTCTTATAGGGCTTATTCATCAGTGATAGCATCTGTAATGTAAGCTAATAGTACCATCAGGTGAACACAGTTGCTCAGGGGGTGTAAAGCTGGTTTTCTAATACAGAAGGAATCAGAACATTTGCTTGAAAGTGTTGGAAAGTGTTTGGGTTTTGTGTGTTTTTTGTTAGTTTTTTTTTTTTTACATTTTCATTTTAATACCACAAAGAATGGGAAAAGAAGACAGTTGCATTTTGCTAATTCGTAGGTTATTTTTAGTTATAATTAACTTGGAACAAATTAATAAACTGTAGTTTAGAGTGCTTTAGACTAGTAGTATGGAAAACTTTACTGAGCAGCTTGAATTACCCATTTTAAACGTTGTCTGTGGCAGGTGGTGGGTTTGGTTTTTTTTCCCCTGGAATGGACACTTGTTAGTAGAGATTTTGCATTAAATACCACCGTGTGCCCCAGAAAATGTGCAGCAGTTTATTTCTAGCTCCTGTGCAGTAAAAGAGGGGGAAATATACATGCAAACAGATGAGCATGTGTGTGGAAGGAAATAGCATAGTCCAATAGTCCATTCCCTGTCAAAGGCTTACATCCCACACACGGATGTATCACATTTCACTCTAAAAAATAAAGTTTTTTTTTTTAAAATAATATTTTCTCCTGCACTTGCTTTCCAGATCCATAGTTCTTTTGATCCTGGCCTAATTGTTTTGGTCCTTGGTTTACTATTACTCTCCAGATCATTTTGAAATGTTTTGTAGTGGTTCTTTTAACCAAAACAATGTTTTAGCATACATGCATTTTTAATTCAAATTTGTAACTTTTATTCAACAGGATGACAATCTAATGGATGTCTTGCAGTTGCTTGTTGCTCTGATGTCAGAGCACCCCAGTTCTATGATCCCTGCTTTTGATCAGAGGAATGGATTACAGTAAGTTTGAATTTTGTAAGTGGGCAAAAGGAAATAGTATTTTGACCATACTGTTGCTTGCTAGAATTCCCATGAAATCTGACAGGTCCTCGTCAGTGTATGTGTTTCAATCTTAGACTCCTCATCTTGGGAGATTTTTGTGTCCAGGTGTTTTTTTGACAAGAGGTAATGTTGGATTTATTATCAATGAGGTCTTTCTTTTTTTAATGTTTCCAAGCTGTCAGTCATGCTAAAACAGGTAGTGATCAGTTTGAGTTGGTCTATACATTGATATTAAGTCTTCATCTACTAGTGCTTAGTCTTTAGCCTCCCATTCTTGCATATGTTTTAGAACTGAAAGTGGGCTGACAAAAATTGGTTCAGATTTCTTCTGATCTTTGTTAGCTTTCTTTCCTTTTTTTTAAATGTGTGAAGCATTATGGGACTTTTGCAGAAGAAACCTTTTATTTGTTTAAATTTAGCACTTTGTGGTATGGATTGTTCACAGTCTCTTTTTCCCAACAAACAGCAAAATATTGTTTAAAAATATTGTGAGAGAAAAAGTAGCAAATTCTACTAACAGTAAAAGCACAAGATAAGATCTGCTAGAAAAAGACTAAGTTATGACTCTGATTTTGTGTTGTGTCTCTCAAAGGGTGGTCACATTATTGAACTTTTCTAATTTAAAATGAACCTGCCTGTACATAGTGGGGAAAAAATTGGAACAGGCAAACAAATGTAAGAACTATTCCTAGAAGGGTATGTGTAGTAGTAATTCTCTCACTGTGTAAAGGCAGAGTCTCATTTCATACATTTTGTTGCACCTATTGGTTAACCCCTATTTGTACACATTTTTTTTTTTTTTCAGTTGCCCTTTCTCAAGAGACAACATTCAGGCACGTTCATAATTGTTTTCTCCCTTTTTAGTGCTAGGCTGATTTTTTTTTTTTTTACCCATTTTCTTCAGCTTTGATTTCATTTGTATGGTAATGTATTATGCTATGGGAAACTAATAAAAACTCTAAATAATAAGGTATTTGAATGTCATGTTGGGTCTCCAATGCAATATGTTTGTTTTTATTTAACAACTGGCAGTAGACATTTTCTTTTTTATTAACTAGTATATGGGCAAGTCAGGATGAATAGTGAGTCCACAGTGAGAAATCACTTTGTTTTCCTGTCTCATTTGTTACATTCCTTGCTCCTGTATTGTCTCCAGCCAATTAACAGGATGTTTGTATGCTTATTGATACATCTACTCTTTGCAATTAAAACACCATATTCTTGAAATCTAAAAATAATTTTACAAAGATTTATAAATATTTGGAGTTTTTTAATAATTACAATTTTGAAAGTAGCCAATCTACTGAAGAAATAATAAGTGTAAGGAAATATTTTTTTTTCCTATGCAATTAGGTAACCCTCATACTGTTCTGTTAAGACAAGCAGGGAAATGGATTATATTGCTTGAATGAACATTGTATCGTGGGCTTGCTCGTTTGTTTGATTCTATAGCTGCTGTGGCTGCAGCTTTCTCCAAGATAAGTTATGTGTTGTAGATAACTGTTTTTTAATCACTCCTGGGTTTTCACTTAAATTCTAGTATAGAACTAGATTTTTTTGTCTTAGTTCAGGTGTCCTGGGTAATGTTTTTAGGTATGTAAAAATCAAGGAATATATAACTAGTGATGAGTGCTCAGTTACGTATAGGTAAGGCCTAAAAACTTCAATAAGTCCTTTGAATTCTTCACAACTGGCTGATCTAAAATGCGGTGTTGTAACATGGGATATTTTTGGAAAGGCTCAAGAATCATTAAAATTGGATTCCCCCCCTAATAAAGTGAAACAAATTTCCTCAAAAATTTACTCAGAAAATATTCACAGTAAAGGCTGAGTACTTTGCCTTCTGTTCCAGTATAATTTCATGGAGCATTAGGAAATTAATCTTTTCTTTTTTCAGACAGAGCTTAGTAGTTCGTGTAGGTATAAGCTAAATCATATTTCACAAATTCAAAGATCTGTCCAGTACCATGAACCATAGCCCAACTAAAATCATATAGTGACATGGTCATAAGCACTTTACTGTCTAAAAAGTAAGCAATGAATGAAATTAGATGTAACTGATAAATACGTTTAGATGTCTTACGTTTTTATGGCAGATTTACAAGGATCAAAAACTTGCATTTGTTATTCTTCACATCGACATAAGGCCAATATTAGAATTTTTCACTATGTAAATAAACATTTAATAAAAGATTAAGCTTTAATGTACTGCAAATAAATGTTTGAGAAGTTAAGATTAAATACTAATCCGATTTCTTTTTATTCGGGGAGTGGAAGGCATAGATACACGTGATGAGATCTGTGCAGTATTAGAGATTGAATGGGTAATGTCAAATATATTTAAGGTTACCGGACTCTTTCCACTGTAAGACTGTACTTCCAATTGTTTATTAATTTACCAGACTTTCATCAATTACATTGATACTTTTCTTGCTGTGTTTGTTACACTCTCATTTTCTTTTTTGGGAAAACCTCAGCTGGAACTGTTCAGCTAGTTAAGTCTAGTACTTTGCTACAGACGTGCCCATTGCTCCCTTCGGCTTTCTTCTTAAACCTTCTTAGTGGAGAACCATAAGCAGGTGTAGAGCATAATCATAAGGAGGTGAAGAGCAGAAACCAATGTAGGTGAAATGAGAAGAATGCCTCCTGACTTGGTGTCTTCTTCTATGCCTCCTGAGGGAGCAACAGCGTGCATAGATGTCAAATATTAATGCTAGTAATAAATCCCTCTCCATACATGGCTATTCCTATCCAGCCACATTTACACTAAAACAATGGCTTGCTTAGTTTTCTGGATAAAATATCAGATTAAGATAGTTCTCAATACAGGAATTGCAGCAGCCTTTTACAGCATGTTTTATGTATTGATATTTGGGAGATATTTAAATTTGATTAAAAATCTCAAAATGTAATTATAAAATGTGAAATCACAAACTATTGTGCCATTAACATAAATGTCATGCTGTTTTTTGTAGTCTTATTAATAGTCATTCTTTTAAATTAGGCTTGGATACAAATTTATTTGCAGTCTACTGCAGTTAATTTGTCATTCAAAAAATTGCTGTGTATTTCAATTATTTTAGGAAGTCTTGTGTTTTCTCCACTTAGGGTTGTCTACAAGCTTTTAGCATCTCAAAGTGAAGGCATCAGGGTACAAGCTCTAAAAGTGATGGGATATTTCTTAAAGCATCTTGCTCCGAAGTAAGTACTGGTTTAGGTCTTAAAACAAAACCCCCAAAAAAGAAGGAAAAAAGGTAGGTTGTGACAAATACATGGCATATGTTATTTTGTGTATATATTATTTGTGGTGTGTATGGTGTGTATATATACACATTTGTTCATACGTAAAGTAAAAAAGCTATATTGGAGGTTAATCACTAAATATGCTTCACTGAATAGGAGCTACTATTCTTCAAGTACTCTTCAATTTTTGTCATTAATACATTTCTGATGTGGTGGAATTACTTGTTACTGGCAACTAGTGTCCAGACATTATCAATTCCTTACCAAGTTCATTTAATACTTTTTTGCAATACGGCTGCCTGCTTTTTAATGCGGTCTTTTTCCATAATTCCGTTGAAATCGGTAGCAAGATTTAGACTGGTGAGATTGAACCCTGTGTTACTTACTAAGAACTAGATTTAATATGTCTCAAGTTGACTACAATAGTAGTTAACTATTGAGATCGCTGTCCATGGTTGTATTTTTGAGTGAAATGAGGACAAAGTTGCCTTTTCCTTAGTGTTTATCAAGAAATCCCTAAGGGTCTGTTTCAGCTTTTTGGGCCCATGGGTGAGTGGACCGCATTTATGGAAGAAAGCTAGCTGTCTTCTGTCTCTCTTCAGGGAATGACTTGTCCTTTCAGAATTTGAATTCTTGCCCTTTTCCTTAACCAAAAGTGAAAGACTTAAGGAACAAAAAAGAAAAAGATGTTTCCAGTGATTTCATATTTCTTGAGGCACACTTCTTAAACTTTTTTTTTCCCCCTAAAGCAAGTGGAATACATAAGTTTATTTTATCTTTCTGTACTGTTTTAGGAGAAAAGCTGAAGTCATGCTTGGACATGGATTGTTCTCTTTGTTGGCTGAAAGGCTGATGCTTCAGACAAGCTTAATCACCATGACCACATACAATGTCCTATTTGAGGTAGTAATATACTGTAGTTAGGATCCAATCTTCCTAATTACTTGTAAGACATTGTTAGAAAATTGCTTACATATTTGTGCTGATATGTTCCAGATGACATTAAACCTTAGTGTGATGCAGCTGAGCGCTGCTTTTTTTTTTCTTCTTCCCCCACCCAAAGCTCACTACTTGATATTTTTCCTCCCCCCCTTAACTTGGTTATGCTCCTTATGAACAATTCTAGGTAATGAGTAACCTGAATGTCTCAAGCAGACACTCATTTATATGTGGAATTTTATTATAGCAATGATCTTGCCTTATGATGATTGTTTTGGTTAGATTCAGGTTTCTCTTCCAGTGTATTTAAAACAACAGTGTGCGCTTAAGAGAAAACAAAAGAAAACAAAAATTTAGAGTAAAATTTTAGGAACAGGATGAAATAAATTCTCAAGGAAGAGAACAAGTCGGTTTTTTGGATAATTTTTGGAACCATGGTGAAATAATGATGGTGCTTTATGAAGGATGTATCCAACTATTTTTCAGCAAGCTGTCTTTATGAACATTGATATGGCATCTTCTTCTTTCTTGCTAGATTCTGACTGAACAGATTTGCACTCAAGTGATACATAAACAACATCCTGACCCAGATTCAACAGTGAAGATACAAAATCCTCGTAAGAATGATATACATTTCTGAGTGCTACCATAACAAAAGTCTGCTCTAAAAAAAAACATGAGAAAGCTTATTAATTACATCCACCGGTCTTAGTTCTGATCTCAGTTTTACATAGTCTTTCATACAGAAGGAAAGATAATGTGCATTTAGTTGGAGTTATTTAGGAAGTATGTCTCTATAGCTTTTTGAAAGACGTTTTATGTGTCTAAATGTGTATGTAGTTCATAACTCACCCTTTTTGGCTGTGCAGTCATGTTATGAAATAGTTTTTCAGGACTTGCATGCACAGGATTCTTTGATTTAATACATGTTAAGGTTCCAGCAAAATTCTGATTGCATTATTTAGTGATGTCAGACTAAATTACCTGAAATATGGAAACAGCCTTCATCTTAAATTACATTCAGTATGACAACGCTAGATGGAAAGTAGGAGAAATGTATCTGCTCACTGTTTTGGTTAGCTTACTTTATGGGAAGTATCTTGATATGAAACTTTAGATGTCTTTTGAAGTAAGAGAAAATACTGATCTCCTTTCCTGAATTATATGCATTACTAATGTGCTCTGTATATAATACAATGGACTTATGATAGCTTTGGGAGTTCATTTTTTCTGAAGAAGTAATAGATTTTTCACTTTCATAGCTGCTTTGTCATTAAATGTAGGTCATAGTTGTGGGTTTGCTTCATGTGGAAAGTGGGGGAAGAGAAAGGAAAGCAAAGCAGATACAGAGGAGATTTCTGTTACTTTCTCTTAAGATTTCTGAAGTTGTCATTCACTGCTGTGGTTAATACAGATTATTTGTAGTGTGAGGTATGAGTCGAATTATCTAGGTCTAGTAGGAAGAGTGACTTCTAGAGTACCTTTTTAAGATCAGTGCTAATATTATCAAATAAGGAATTTCTCTTTTTAAAGAAATTGTACAAGGTGAACTGAAACTATCACAGTGATCATGTTCAAATTGCACCCTAATTTATTTACAAAGTTAACTTTTTTTAAAGTAACAAGAATAGTGACTACCCCACTGCTCAAAAAGTGGAATGTACCCACAGTTTTGACTGTCTCCTAAAAATATAGAAAACATGCTCATAAGAGATGACATTTTACATCAGGAAGGTTTTGTCCCCTTTCTCAAACTTTTTTTTAATAACAGAAATTGTTAAGTATAATCAGAAGTTCTTCACATTCTTGGAAAATTCAGTACTATTAAGGTAGAGCAAAATCTGTGCATTTTTCTCATATGTTGATTTTATAACAGATGCATTGTATTACGTGAACTTCCTTAAAAAAAGGTTCTGACAGATTCTGGTAACTTGTCATTTGTCATGCAGTAACATTTGTGTTGCTTAAACCTGATAATTAAAAAAAATTTCAGAGTAATTTAACTTGGATTCCATTTTCTTCAGCTGTATAGGCCTGCAAATCCCCCTGATGGTGACCAGGTTTGAGAAATCTTGGAAGAAGGGATTTGTATTAGTTAAACCTTCCACTCAAATAGAGACATGCTTTTTCTCAGTATAAAACTTTTTTTTATGTAGCATCACTTTTCTTGTACAAACAGCATCGGCAGATGTCCTGTGTTTTATGCTGTGCTTAGTACTAATATTTTGTTGCTCATGAACTGTTTTACAGAGATTTTGAAGGTTATTGCAATCCTGCTACGTAATTCTCCACAGTGTCCAGAAACTCTGGAGGTTCGGCGAGCCTTTCTCTCAGATATGATTAAACTTTTTAATAACAGCAGAGAAAATAGAAGGTAAGATAACTTGCTATATGCACATGTATACAAAGTAAGTAACAAGGTCTCCTAGTAAATTAGACTCATTAAGCAGATACAGCTTCATTGTTGTTCAGCAAATTCTGTACTCTAGTATAGTCTTCAATACATAAAATTAGAGAAGCTTGCACATAGCGATTGTTTTAAACATGTTGAATTCCTGACTTAGCTGATGTATATTTCTAAGATGTATTTTGAAATTTGATTAAATAACATGTGTGTATTTCACAGGAGTTTGTTGCAGTGCTCCGTCTGGCAGGAGTGGATGCTTTCCCTTTGCTATTTTAATCCGAAGACTTCTGAGGAACAGAAGATAACTGAGATGGTGTATACCATATTTCGAATTTTGCTCTACCATGCAATCAAATATGAGTGGGGTGGCTGGCGTGTTTGGGTGGATACACTGTCGATCACACATTCAAAGGTGAGTGTTTGAAATAGTTGGGAAATTTTGTTACGCTGTGTAATTAGATTTAGAGCCTTAAAGTGCTGTATCATACAGTGAGATAGTCTTGAAGTGAAGGTCAGTAGTTAAATAAAAGCCCAGTGTTTATATCTCTCACTGGGCATAACTTTCAAATATTTGACAATTAAATGTTAATTTTGTTGTTTGAACACAAATCTTTTTTTGTTGTTGCTCAAATTGTGATAGTATTAGTTTATACTGAAAATGGCACATTTTCAAAATGAGATAATAAAATTTCAGGAGCATTTCTGAAAAATTTTAGTGCTGGTTTTGGTTTTTAATAATGGCATGAACACAAGGTGGCGCACCATATCTATGCATAAACAAAAATACCTTTTGGTAACATCAAAAGGCTGTAAAACAAATCAGTAAAAAGCAAAGAAATCAAAGTTAAGACTGATGCTTCAGCTGTTAAGCTGTCATGGAATACAGGGTGAGAACGCAAATCCTTGCAGTATGAATGAGACTATTACCCTTCATTATTCTTCTGTCTGATTTTTTTGTTGTTGTTGCAACTGGAATGATATCATAGATGTTACTAGTGGATCTTCGAACAAGACACAGTAGTATAGAAGATAACTGCCCTGCCTTATTCTGAACAAAAGTTTTAGGCCAGTGTGGGCCTTTTAATTATTCTGGTTTATCAGACTTATTTACTTAAGTTGAATTGAATTAGAAATTATGTCTTTCTAAATGTGTGTAACTTAACCATGCAAAAAGGACATCTGTGAATCCTAAAGATCACTTTATGATTCTAAGGAATTGTTAGCATTTCTGAGGTCCTTGGTTTTGTATGAATTTTTCCTCAAAAAAAGTCAGTCTCTGCAGACAGCAAGAACACAGTTATTTTGCAGCTCTGTTTGTTTATCACATTCATAGCTTGATGGTAGATTATTGGGCCATGGGGAGACAAATGTAGAAATCTATATAATAGAAGTGTGTGAAATAATATCATTAAATAGTAATTTAGCTAAATAGAATCCAGGTGCAAAGAATCCAGGGCCAAATTTTAACCCTTACAGAGATCCCATTTAGTTGTTGAAATACCCTTAATCTTCCTTTGTGTCAGCTCTGCAGTTTTCAAAAAACCTGTTTCCTCTCTTTCCCCCAAGATGCAGAGGGCATGGGTGGAGTAAATTGTACAATGGCAAGCTGTAGCCAGAGTAAAGATTCCTAATGTGCTTTTATAGAAACTGGCATAATTTAAAGCATTTCTGTGATTGCTGGGGAACTGTTCCTGGGGAAAGATGGAGAGGTGAGTGAAGGAAGACCACCTTTCTACCTCTGTTATGCAGAGCTTTGGTGTATTGAATTTAAAAATTATCTAGCACATTATCTTATAAGCTGCAGTTCTATTCTTAGACTCTTTTTGTAAGATAACGTAATGTTGGAAATATAATTTAAACAGCTTCTATGTCAAAATGATTGTATGGATTTTTGGTCATTATCTGCAGTAACTTAATGTGGCTAATCAATGGTCTAGAGTTCACAGAGGAAAAACCAAGATTTTATTGTGATGCCATGGGCAAATGTTAAGAAAAAAACCTCTGTTTTAGAAAATACAAAAAAAATTGAGGTACAGATAATGTTACTACCCCCCCCCCCCGGGGGGTGTGTTTTTTTTCACACAAATTGTTCCCCCCCCCCCCCCCGGGCTGTATGTTTTTGTACAATACCATAGTGAATGAGAAAATGACGTGCTTCACTCTTCGTGTGTCTCATTTTTGGTTCCGGGCATGCTGGCATGGTGAGGTATCCTTGGTTGTATAAGTAACTTCCTGTATCAGTTTTCCCAAGTCTAACTTTGTTGGCTTTCTGGTTAATATGTAAGGACTGTTTGTTCTTACAACCTACTTCAGAGGAAGTTGAACAATGGCAAGGTTAGAAGTGTGTGAGTGTGGGCAGAGCTAGCAGCAGAGTAGTGTTGTAATTTTGAAGGAATCATGAAGGAGTTCAGTTTGTTTGAACATTGGTGCTAATATTATCCAGTTCCAGAAGCCTAAATGAAAAAGATTAGACAGCAAAAGCACCCAGAAACTAACTTAACAATAGTGATATGAATGATGATGCAAAAGTCAAGGATTTTAAAATCGGATTTTTTTATCTTTATTATGCGTTTGAACTTTTTTATAAATCATACATGCAATTTATGCAGCTAGCAATATAAAGGTAGATGATGTTTCATAACTATCTTTTAATTACATAAACATAAATTAGGATAAATCACAAAAAAAGCTCTTTGTGGTAAAACCTTACTAATCACTTGAAAATGTCCTTGTAGACTGATATTAATATCTAATGATAATGAATTTTTAATCCCTCTAATTTTACTTATTTTGAAGATTCTTGTATCCTGTTATACCAATATTGAGATTCATATAGATTCACACATAACATAGTGTGGACATAATTCAGTGGGCAAGTTGTTCGATGCTAAGTGCATCTCAGATGTTTTTGATTTCTAGCATGCTTTCAAAGTAATGTGGGAATTATGGGAACAAAAATATTTCCTTAACATTGCTAAGAGAATAACCAATTTGTGGTTTTATTATTTCATCTCTAATTGCATTGGGTTACTGCTTATTTTTCCTTTTTACAACCCTTTGCGCCATTCTTGCCACTAATTTATAACACCATTCTATGATAAAGAACTAGTATATAAAGGACTAGTGTTACAGAATTGGATAGGTTTTGCAGAGCTACACATCAAGATACATGCAGCTGCTATAAAAAGCCAAAGAAACTCAATTGCAATTTTATTGTCCAGTTTGATAGATTTCCTGCCACCTTTGTAGCAGGGAAGCTGTTTGTCACTGTAACCCTCTCCTCTAACAGCTGCACAACGTTTTATAAGCAGCATCGGCTTTTCTAGCATAATTGCACTACATTGGTTTCCTTGCACTCAGAATTTAGAAGGTGTGTGTAACCTTTTTAAAGCCAAGTTTCTTAGTATTACTCATGTATTTTGCTCATTTCCGTATTATATTTTTTGATGTTTTCCAAATATTAGCACAGTGTATAGAAAGGTGATTAATCTGTGGCTTCTAGTTCAATAAAAATGTTAATGAAAAAAATTAAATCACAACTCCAGTTTGTTCTAACTGTCCAGTGTTGAATTTAGGAAAGCTTCCTAAGAACTTCTGTTTTTTAAACGTTGTAACCATGCTAGCTAGGCCTTAGATTTTATCTGTCTAGCCATGTTACTTTGTAAAAAGGACCAATGATTTTGGGGTTAATACTAGGAAACAAGTAAAGAATGGTGGACAACTTGCCTTTTTGTCCTTTCAGCTTCCCCGGGTTTTAAAAGAATATAATGATTTCTACAGTATAATACACTCCTGAATTATCTGAATGTTTTAAAGTACTGGGAAGAACTAACATTTGCTTATTTCAGGCCCTTAAATATATTTTGCTACTTAAAATTTGCTTCATGTTACCATGTGATTAGGTTAAAGAGAAGATATTTGGGTAAAATCCGATTTTTTTTTTTTTAATTATACTTTTTTTTTAGTAGCTCAAGAAATTTTCATTGAGTAAGACTCAGAACTGTTAATATGTATAAGTTACAGTTTTATTGCTGTATAAGTGGAAATTGCTATATGAGTGAAAAAATTTTGTTCACTGATCTGAGTGGGAAGAAGTATAATCTTAAAACATCAGTACTGTGACTTTAACATACAATGTATTTCTAAATAATTGTTAGTTTTCAGTCTAAGGAAGTACAGTTGTAATAAACATTGGTGAGTGTTAAGTAAACCTGTATGTTCTTTGGTCCCCTGCTCATTTAATACAGGAGAGAAGAAAAAAAGGTGTGCACAGCGTTTACATGTGTTACGTTTGCCTGATTTTCATCACTGTCAGATGAGGGAAAACCGGCAAAAGCAGCAAAGATTAGGTGGTGGAGGAGTTAATATATGACGGCAATTTAAAAACTAATTTGCAGAGAAGTGAACATGGCTCGGTAGTTTTAGAAAGTGACAGACCATCAGGATCTCTTGAGTCCAAATCCCACTGGCGTTCATTGGGTTATTAAGGATGGTTTTGTCTCCATTTTTTCTCCCTATATTGAAGAAGGTAGGGTCTTCCACAGTGGTATGTGCAGGCGTTTTTAGCTCTAGGGCACTTTGAAGGCTTCAGATGTTCTTCAGTCCTCTGAAAAGTGTGTCTGCATTGCCCTGAGGGGAAGCAGAGGTAGCTAGCCAAGAGGGTCATTGTACTACTGCAGGTTTTTGGTTTTCTGTTGTGCGATGCCCAACATATTAATGAAGCAAAGCTGGGGGAGATGCAAATCAAGTAGCACACTTGAAATGCGTAAATATGGGTTTCCTTCTTATGGTATAAATAGTTATTTATAAAAAATTATTGCTTATTCTAGATGGAAATGATTCTCAGGGGCGTCACCTGACTTATGGAGAGCAGAAGGAACTTGGAGACTAGAATGTGCAGCCTCCCTGAAAGCTGTGTACCCTCCAACATGTGTGGTCATGATGCAATCCTTCACCTTTTCTAGGTGTTTCCTTGTTACAGCTTCTTTTGTAGTAGGTGTGTGGGAAGACTTTTCCTAATCAATGCTTCTGAGGAGAAGAAAGTATTTTCATTATTCAGCAGGCAGAGTAGTTGGGAGGAGGGATCTGTACCACTGGTGGGCTTTTACGCAATGCAGCATGTGTACTTAATGGGGAATTCCTCCATCTCATTATTCACTCAGTTTGAGTGGAATGTCATGAATAAAGCTGCAGGATGCTAAAATTTAACTAATTCAAACTGAAAGAAAAGTATGAAATAGGGGATAGGAATAGAGTGAGCAAGGTGAACTGGGAATTTATGAAGCAGGAAAGAACAGGATCAGCTGGGTAGAGGAAGCTGCACAGAAGCCTTAAAAGAAGAGTGTAATAGAGATTTGTTACTGGTTGAGAAGTGCCAGAGGTCTCAAAAAGAAGAAATGGGAAAACATTTGC